AAGGTACCATTTTCTTAAAGACAATGTTGAAAAAGGTAACATAGAAATGTACTTTGTTCCAACTGAGATTCAACTTGCTAACATTTTTACAAAAGCTCTTGATGAGAAATGATTTTTATTCCTAATCAGCAAGATGGGTATGCTGAATCTCACCACTTAGAGGCAATAATTATCTTTCAACCAGCGATCTTCAATATTTCATGGTCATGCCAATAAGTGATACAATAAATTAGCCATAAACTTTCTAAGTATCCTAAACCAGAGCCTCTGGTCATAAAGACCAGAGCCTCTGGCCATTKAGAATGACTTCGATTAATTGGCAAAATTTTATCTTTGTAACCAGAGCCCCTCTGGTTCAAAGCACATACTTGGTATTGTTTACCAAGTCCTTTTTCTTCAACCCAGAGCCTCTGGTTTTATAGACCAGCGCCTCTGGACTCCAACATTTTGAGATATCAAAGTCTTAATCCTTGGATTCTTGCATCCTCTACTCATTATTTCTTTCTCCTTCACCTCCCAGAGCCTCTGGTTCCAAAGACTAGAGCCGCTGGTTTTCCCCCATTACTTGCAATATTTTCTTTTCTTCAAACCAGAGCCTCTGGCTTCAAACTCTTTGTAATCAACGTCCTATTGGTCTCAAAGAGTTCCCCTTATCCCACTCCACATAGTCTTACCCATTTCCTTTCATACTCCTTTTCATAGTTTTTCCAACCAGAGCCTCTGGTTCTAAAGATCAGAGCCTCTGGATTCAAAGTCTTTGTCACCAGAGCCCCTCTGGTCTCAAGGACGATTCTTTTTCCTTGTTCATAACACTCATTGCCTTTTCAACGAGAGCCTCTAGTTCTATTCACCAGAGCCTCTGGATTCAATGTCCTTGAGTTTTTCAAAAACCCACAGGCCATGCCCCTCAACCAGAGCCTCTGGTTGTATAGACTAGAACCTCTGTCTCCTAAACTTCTCAAATTTTATCTAAGTAAAAGGGAGTCTTTGATTTTAATCCATATGCATCATTTGAGGGGGAGCAAAAGTTTACTTTTGTAAACTTGCATTTTCCATCCAAAGCCTCTGGTTCTACTATCCAGAGCCTCTGGTCACAAAAAAATGCTATATATAAATATAATACCAGACCTCATCTGGTTTTATAAAATGGATTGCCACACTTCATCAGAGCCTCTGGTTTGTTAACCAAAGCTTCTACATCATGCAAATCCAACATCACTACTTGTCTTCATCGACATTACAACCAGAACTCCTCTGGTTCCACACCCACTMTGTCATGCATAACCAGAGCTCCTCTAGTTCCATGAAAATAMATTTTACACTCAAACTCATCTTAATTGAAAACCATTTTCAAGATTATACAAAATTGCAGCTTTTGTGACTAAAAACTATACAACAAGGGTTTTTAGAAGATCAAGACTTCGTAATTAGTATTAATCTTACAATTAGATGAGATTTTAAACATTTTTTTTGGGGAAACGTCTTCTCCAAGATGTATTTTTGGAGTAAGGCACGACGTCATCATCCCACGCGCCTGACACCATACAGGCTGTCTCCCATGAGCCGTTTCAATCTTTTCCCTCCCTCACCCTAGCTTGACACGTGTCCAATTCATTAATGGCATGTACTGTCACGACGGCTCACGTTCTTCAAATCAAATCACCCAAAACTTATACCACCAATTTTTTCATGATTATTATATTTTAATAATCAAGAAAACGTTTCACTTCCACCCCCCACCCCCCCACACCCCAACCGTCTTCCCCATAAATACCCTTCTTCACCATTCTTCCCCTCTTTACGCCTTCAAAACCTACAACAAGACTCCGACGAACTCAAAACCTGCAACTTCCTCAACAATGGCCTCCTCCGCTTCTGATGAATCCAACAACAATGACAGTCGAATCCAATCCACAGGCGCCGACAGCCGAGCAATCGTCTTCTCACCCATGAAACCCAACAATCATATGATTGAACTGCGCAACACCCTCTTTGATGACAGGTTTGCGATAATGATTGAGTTCTTTAAGAACTGTATCCTTCTCTCTGCCTTAACTCTAGTGAACCCAAACGTACCTATAAAGTACGTTCAACAATACTGGCAGAACTGCGAGTTTGATCCTCCCAGTCATGGAATAATGGGGGACATAGACGCCCCAAATGACATGATTTGCTCGCTAAAAATATCGTGAGCAAAAGTTTCTAAGGTTCTATGCATTCCCACAAGAAAGGAACTAGGGATCGAGCAATATGACGAACCACCTTCCTCCGACGACATCCTCAGGTTCGTAAAGATGCTAGGGTACAATAGTGAACTGCGAAATGTATCAAACTTCAAAAGACAATTTCTCCCACCAATGTGGAATTTGTTCTTTTCCATCCTCAACCGATCCCTCACCTGCAAGCTCGGTTCACTCGACCAAGGAAATCTCAACATAATGACAATTATGTATGGGCTTTTCTTCGACCTCAATCTTGACTACGCCTTCCACATCTACAACGAGATTCATGCGGCCGTGATCAAAAAGTGCAAACTTCAAGCCACAGGAAAGCCACTATCTGCTATTCTCTTTCCCCGCTTCCTTGCTCTTTTCATTGGGGACGCGATGGTGCAACACGGACTACCTGCTGTGGAGCCTTTCACCCCAAACTACAAGATGCAAGGACATTGCCCAACACTTTCGAAGGAAGGCTACACCATCAACCGGCCGCTATCCCGGGCTATGCTCACTGTCATACCATCGTCAAGTGAGATACGCCAATCCTATAAATGCTCCATGCCGTCCCCCTCTCCAAGCGAGGGAGCACCTGCATCATCTTCATCGGATGATGAAGATGATGATAATGATGATGCTCGTGCTTCTCCCAGCCTTCACCAAAATATTCCTCACCCTACTTTCCAAAGGGCAACCACATCTACTACCCCTGGCGATCAAAGCCAAAGGGGTATTGAAACAGGACGATCCAGTCCCACCCTAACCCCAGCTAGCCATCTGGAGGCTATTCTTCGGGCCTCTGGAGATGAACAAGACGAGGAACCACATATACCATCACCCCTCTCTCAATAGAGAGATGATGAAGAGACAAGAGCCCCTTCGCCTCAGGGCTCGCCACAACCCCTCACACACACAGAAGCATTCGTTGCTTCTGACATTGAACCCATAGATCGTTCAGAGCGATCTTCAATTCGTGCACCACTCCCCTCGGTATTTGATCTACCAAAAGGGACACACATCCGCTTCACTTTACTCAGCCTCTGAAGCTGAGGAAGAGGAAGAGGATGT